TATCTATCTATCTATCTATCTATCTATCTATCTATCATCTATCTATCATCTCTCTATCATCTATCTATTTTTCGGAGTATAAGACCCACAGAAAAAACGCACCAAGATTTTGAAGAGGCAAATTAAAAAAAATATTTTTGCACTCTGCAGACCTCCCCAAAACGGCCCTTTTTTGCAAAAATTGGCCCATTTTTTTCCAAAAAAAGGGCATGAATAGCATTTAGGAGGCTTGTAGAGTGCTCCTGGGGGCCCCCAAAAACAAGCAAAAACACCCCATTTTTTGTGAAAATGGGCCCATTTTTGTCAAAAAAAGGGCAAGCATAGCCTTTAAGCTTATAGAGTGCTCCTGGGGGCCCCCAAAAACAAGCAAAAACACCCCATTTTTTGTGAAAATGGGCCCATTTTTGTCAAAAAAAGGGCAAGCATAGCCTTTAAGCTTATAGAGTGCTCCTGGGGGCTGGGGGGGGGGCGCAAAATTGAGAAAAAACGGTTTGTTTTTTGCTCATTTCTGCCCTCCCCAGCCCCCATGAGCACTCTGGAAGTCTCCTAAAGGCTATGCATGGCCGTTTTGGTGAAGGGACGGGGTTTCGGGAGGCAAAAATGCTGTATTCAGTGTATAAGATGCACTCAGATTTTCACCCTCATTTTTGAGGAAAAAAGGTCTATTTTATACTCCGAAAAATACAGTATCTATCTATCTACATATCTATCATCTATCCATCAACCTATCTATCACTGTTTTCTATCTGAGGTGGTTGCCTTGCTCAGCTTAATGTATGGCTAGTTCAAGTTCTAAAGTAGGAGCTAATTCTGGATAAATTATTAAATTTCAAAGTGCATCGTGAACTATACATTCACAACTTCATGTGACTGCTGGTATATTTTGAAGCAGTTCAAAGACAAACAAAATGCTGCTTGGATGAGGAGAATATTGAAAATATGATGATCAGCTACATGAAAAGAAGGTTAACAGGAAGATATTTTTTTCAAGGCCAGCAAAACTTTATTGATAGTTCAAGATTCATTATTTTAGGGAAGGAAGGAAGGAATGGAGGGAGGGAGAGAGGGGAAGGAAAGAAGAATGGAAGTTCAAGGCTAAAAAACCCCTCAGGCCTAAGAAAGAAAATCACAAGATGTCTAAAGTATTATATTAGTTTGGTGTCATAAGCTAAGCAGAATCAGTCCTGATTACTGTTTGGATGGGACATCGCCTGCAAACTCTAGGATGGTAAACTGGGCTGAAAAGTTTTTTTAAAAATCTCTTCCTTACTGTTACCAAGAAAAGACACCAAGCATTGTGAATGACTTGAGGCCCTTCCTACCTTTTTCATGGTACCCTTGCAATGTTCCTTGGTCCATATTCCGAGTGACCAGGTCAGTCTTTTACCATTGATTGTTGATTTAAATGCATGAAAATAACTTCCAGGAAAACATCTGTGTGCAATTATTAAGCTACATGTCGATTATTTCTTACCTGCTGCAAGACACAGGGCGACTATGAGAAGGAACTTGCGAAAAGCAGCCAAGGAGTCTTCCATGGTACCTTTTTTCCACTCCCTTCACCACTTATACACGGCAGGGCTTCCAGAGATCAGATTGGATGGTTTTATAGGAAGCAGATTCTCCCGTTTCCCCTGACTTCAAAGTGGGTCTCCATTTGATAGAGAGATGTGTCTTGCCTAGTGATATGAGAGTCTGCCAAGCACTGATGGACACTGAGAAATATGAAGCTGATAACATGCAATAAAATTTCCCTCTCACATCTAACTGGGCAAACATCTTTGCAAAACATCTTTGTCCAGATTTTTATTGCCTCTTTCCAATCGTTATTCCTGTTCCTTCTCTCCATAAAACAGGCTTATGAAATGCAAAAACAAATCACGAGATCACATAACTGTTCTAGGACTAAATGAGCAGAAAGACCTAAAACAGTTGGTTTGGTGTAGTGGTTCAGGTGCTAGCTTAGAAACCAGGAAATGCTGAGTTCTAGTCCTGCCTTAGGCATTGGGGGGATTTATTCACTCTCTCTCAGCCCAACCCACCTTACAGAGTTGTTGTTGTGGGGAAAATAGGAAGAGAAAGGCGTGTTAGGTAGATTGGCTGCTTTATTTATAAAAAAGTGGGATAAAAATGTAAAACAGAAGGCACTCTGCACGTGCAACAGTTTGTGGGTTTGAAGTGTGATCGCAAACTATTGAAATTTCTCTGAACTATCTAGCCCACGATTCCCCAGATTTTGCCAAGAAAATGATTAATTCGTTTCTCAAAAGCTTTAAATGCCATTATAGTCTTACACAAAATAGTGGGCAGTAAAGTAAGCTGTAAAACAGGCCAATTCCTGCAAGAAACAAAGAAACCACCCCCAAAATTTCAATTCCACCTTCCTATGGGAGGTGGTAGCCTCATTGAACAGCCACCAAAGCGACATTTAAAGCAATTCATTCTTGCAGCACTGAGTGTCCATTTAAATAATTTCCTTCAAGACTTTCTGACACTTAATCTGTTGGACAAAATATCAAGGGAGTTTGAAGTAGCAGTTTGTAAAGCTTGGCAAAAAGTTCTTGATTGCTAGAATACCTTGATAATCTTTCCCCGTTTGCACTGAAATGAAGCATGACTTAATGACAAGAAGTAATTCACCTTAAATGACCTCCATGAATCAATCCCATGAGTTGTGTTGGAAGTGTGTGTGTGTGCTTTTCTGGAATAAGGTATGGATTTGCTATCACAAAAATAAAACTCTTGCAAACTGAGGCCATGGAAAACTGTTGAGTGATGCCCAGAAAAATGTAAAAGATATAGAGGAGAAAGGGAACCAGATTTATGGATTCCTGCACTGCTATTCTTTGTACTGCTATGTTGTTCAGTGCTCCCCAATCCTAGGTATGTTACTCAAAAGTGTTTTTTTCTTTGGATAATAATAGACAAACCCATTACTCATCAAACAGGGACATTTAAGTTGACCTAAAGTTTGTCCATGGGACGTAGTGACTCAGTGGCTAAAACACTGAATTTGTCGATCAGAAAGGTTGGCAGTTTGGCAGTTTGAATCCCTAGTGCCGCGTAATGGAGTGAGCTCCCGTTACTTGCCCCAGCTTCTGCCAACCTAGCAGTTCGAAAGTTTGTAAAAATGAAAGTAGAAAAAATAGGAACCAACTTTGGTGGGAAGGTAACAGCATTCCGTGCTCCTTCGGTCTTTAGTAATGCCGGCCACATGAGCACGGAGATGTCTTCGGACAGCGCTGGCTCTTTGGCTTTGAAACGGAGATGTGCACCAGCCCTAGAGCCAGAAACGACTAGCATGCAAGTGTGGGGGAACCTTTACCTTTAAGGTTTGTCATAAAGATATTCAAAAACCTCCCAAAGTATACCTATGAGGACAAAAATGGATGAAACTACCAACAAAAATTTGTTGAAATAACATCAATGGTATTATTTTTATAAAACTCACGATAATCCTTGGGTTATGTCCATTCATTCAGCGATCATTCAAAGTTACATCAGTGCTGAAGGAAAGGACATACGACCGGTCTTTGAAGTTTGATAAAACTTTTTGATAAGTAGTTTTGGGTAATGAAGAAAAACGTTTGCAAGGCAGAGAGTCAGTCATCCTTAAAAAACAGCAGCATCTTTCTTAACTGTAGCCTTTGATGAAATCTTTCATTACCAAGTGGTCTTGTATAATCAACCAGGATGGATTTACTTGCATATCTCAAGGCATTTGTGGCCAACAAAAAGTAGGAATGTGTCATCACTGTGGTGGGATTTCATTCTATAGTCAACACAGCAGCTCACCATGGACAGGACAAATTGCAAGATGACACACTAATGGAGCAGTAAAATTGGATTGTGTGGAAATAAGCCAGCAATTTAAATAAATGGTTCTTTTGACAGTTCTCTTTTGCTTCTCTGTTGGGACAACCAGGCCTCCTGCTGGTAAAATTACAAACTTACTAAAGCAGTAATAATAGAGTCTGGATTATTGGATCTGGGCTATCACATTCCAGGTGTCCACTAGATGGCAGCAAAAACATACAGGAAAAATTACGTAGGCCTATAAATTTGTGAAGCCAGAAATCAAAACTGACTTGAAAGGGTCATACGTACACACCTAGATTATAAAGTTATAATTATATACATTACACTGGTTTTTTTCTTTCATAAAATGAGGCCATGTGACCACGGAACACCTAGTGTGGCCATGTGACCGGGGGGGAGGGGGGAGAGCAACCACCAGAATTTTAAATCCAGGTCATAAGCACTCCTCAGGTAGGTCCATCAGAACTTCAAACTGTCACTTAAGTCAAGGACAACCTTATTAGGGCAATTCTCCAACTACAGCTTAGCTTTATGACCAGCTGGAGGAGTGAACTGTCCATGGTCCTGAACTCCTTTACCCTTCAACAAAGGATTGCCAGAGACTCAAAATTGGAGAACAAGCACTTTAAATTTAGATAGATAGATAGATAGATAGATAGATAGATAGATAGATAGATAGATAGATAGATAGATAGATAGATAGATAGATGATAGACAGACAGACAGATGATAGATAGACAGACAGACAGACAGACAGACAGACAGACAGACAGACAGATAGATAGATAGATAAAAACAGTAAGTGTTTTAAAAACATAAATATTTTAATAGGGTACCAAACAATATTATACTCCAAGCCAAGTGAAGCAGTCTGAACTGAGTAGTCAAAAGGACCAAAAATGTTACATCCTTGCCAATGGAAAGGAAATTACCCATAAGGGGGAAATACAGTGCCCATTTCCTCTTTATTAGAAAAGTAGAGCAGTAAACTATGACATGTTTCCGACATTTATATCCTTGTTCAAATAATCTATCCCAACAATTTCTAAGCAATGTGATCATATGGGGGGGAAGGAGGGGAAAGGTTTCATGGCAGATGCCACCATGATGGCTCTAATATTTTTTTCAGCCTCCATCATCACTGATGCTTCTAAAACTGGGCTGGTGCTGACAAACCCTGAGTAATATAAGATCAGTTCCCACCACAGAAGGTGATGCCTAAACTCGTGTGAACCTTCCAGGACCTGCCCTCAAGCTCAGCATCCTCTGCTTTGGAGTAAATTCTACTATCTGGAACAGGGTAAATCCATTAGTTCTCCTTAGTCAGTCCAGCATCCTGTTTTTTGGCCATTTTCTGAAAAGTGGCAAACACTTGTTCTATGTGCTGCAGCTCTGAACGAATGAAGGAAATCTGTGAAGAAAAAGAGAGTGTTAAGTAAGTAGGTGGGCCATGCTTTGCTAATCTCATGGCAATGGCTTTCTTTGAGCCCTATGACATGCTCTCAAAACGTCTACTGGCCCAGTGGAACCAAACAATCAGGAATCTCAGCATGAGGCTCTTGATACCTTTTGCTCGTGATTCATTTTGGCTTTTAAGGAGTTTTGCTTCTGAAGTTTTTCTGTGAGATTTGCCAGCCGTTGCTTTAATTTCTGTTGCTGGGATGTCAGTTTGATGAGTTCTTTGTGAGGATCCACCAAATCCTAGGATGAGGGAAAAAATCAGGAAAAAAACCCTGTAATGGAAGATATAACCCACCTTCTAAACACCTCATTCTCCATTTATGGTCCTTCTATCTCTGTATCTATCTATCTATCTATCTATCTATCTATCTATCTATCTATCTATCTATCTATCTATCTATCTATCT